GGAGAGTAAACATGAGTTGCACTCCATGGGTCCGACCCTAACATGGCCGACCCCAACCTCAAGGATTAGACTTGATTGTAGCGGCTTGGTTGTAGCTTGTTTGTTGTCCTCCTTTCTTTATCATATGGGTTCCGTTTCACCCCTTTGTATTTTTCTTAACATGCATCTTCCCCCGGAGGTGGGCACATTTTGTGTCTCCCCTCTCGGAGGTGGGTACATTTTTTGTCTCCCCTCCGGGAGGTGGGCATATTTTATGTCTCCCCTCCGGGGGGTGGTACTACCGAGGTGCTAGACCTTTTTTTTTTAACACAATGCCTTATGTTAGTCGCTTAAGCCTAGTCCTGTTGGACTAAGCCACCGAGCTCTTCCGTCGGGGTTGGTACGCGAGGTCGGACCCCGTGCCCCCCTAGGGTACGTTAGCTACTTGAGCCTAGTCCTGCCGGACTAAGCCACCGGGCTCTTGCGTCGGGGTTGGTACGCTAGGTCGGACCTCGTGCCCCCTTAGGGTGCGCTACCCGCATGAGCCAAGTCCTGCCGGACTAAGCCATCGAACTCTCCCGTCGAGGTTGGTAGGCGAGGTCGGACCCCGTGCACACTTAGGGTGCGCAAGCCGCTTGGGCCGAGTCCTGCTGGACTAAGCCACCGAGCACTTCTGTCGGGGTTGGTACGCGAGGTCGGACCTCGTGCCCCCTTAGGGTGCGTTCGGGAAGGTCGGGGGTGAATACTCGTCTCCCCTCTTTAAAAAGGAATGAAAATCACTTCGACACGAGAAGTTTTATTCCGTTTATTGCAAAGGAGGGGACATGCCACCTCTTGCAACATCTTTGGAGGGGACGCTACACCTCTTAAAACATCATTGGAGGAGACGTTCCACTTCTTGAAACATCATTGGAGAGGACGGACCACATCTTGCAATATCTTCGGAGGGGACGCTCCACCTCTTAAAACATCGTTGGAGGAGACGTTCCACCTCTTGAAACATCATTGGAGAGGACGGACCACCTCTTGCAATGTCTTTGGAAGGGACGCTCTACCTCTTAAAACATCGTTGGAGGAGACGTTCCACCTCTTGAAACATCATTGGAGAGGATGGGCCACCTCTTGCAATATCTTTGGAGGGGACGGTCCACCTCTTAAAACATCGTTGGAGGGGACAGTCCACCTCTTAAAACATCGTTGGAGGAGACGTTCCACCTCATAAAACATCCTTGGAGAGGACGGACCACGTGGTGGCCCGAGCAGGTCCCTTTGTGGATCTCCTCTATTACTGACCTCGCCTCGTTGGGGTACAAGCAATGTAGCAGGGTGTCATTAGAGGACCTCTTGTAAAGTATATCACGGGAGACCATGTAGGTTCTCCCCACTGGCTTGGTTGCGGCCTTGTCAAGGGGTAAGCAACCCATAACAGGTTCATCCGTTAGGTAGTGAGCGAGGGCGTCCCCCCTGTACTACCGTTAGGGAAATGCCAAGGTCGGGGCCGGTGCGAACGACTGCGACCATGGGTTAATAAGAAAATATGTCAATATTTTTCCTTCCGACCTCTCCCTTCCTCCTGCTCCTTCTTCCTCTTCTCGGCGACCTCGGCGTCGGCATACCGGGCCGCCCTGTCCATCAGGTCGGTATAGTTTTTGGGAGGGTACCGGATGAGGTCCTGGTGGAAAGCACCCGACCTCAAATTGTTCCTGAAAATTGGCATGGCCGACTTACCATCGAAATTGGCGACCCCCATGGCTTTCTTCTTCCATTTACTGAGGTAGTCGGCCAGCGACTCCGAGCTCTTCTGTTTCAGGTCGCACAGGTCAGCGATTTGCTTCTTCCTTTGGATGCTAGTGGCGAAGTGGGACAGGAACTGCTTGGTGAGGTCCGTGAAGGTAGAGATGGACCCCTCCAGGAGGGACCCAAACCAGTCGTGTGTTTGCCTGTCTAGAGTGGCGAAGAACCCCCTGCATAGGATGGTGTCGGTAGCCCCGGTGATCATCATGGCGGCCCTGTACCTGGTGAGGTGCGACCGTGGGTCCGTGGTCCCCGAGTACACCTTGATGGTGGGAAAACGGAAATCCTTGGGCAAGGGTTCATCCAAGATAGCACTCACGAACGGGGTGGACAGTATGTCTTGGGGCTCCGGGGACCCGTCCCTCTCGTCAATCATCTTCTGGAGCTCATCAATCCTCCTCCGTAGATGCTCGACCTCGTTCCGATTGGAGCTCAGGACTCGGCCATTTGTCTCACCTGTTCGCTCTACCTGGGAGGCCTGCCCGTGTCGTGGTGGAGCTCGGGTCCCACGACCTGGGGACCTACGCGAACCCGCCTCCTGTTGCGGTCAGGCTCGGGGTCCGTGGCTTGGCGACCTTCGGGTGCCTGATGGTTGCCGTGGTGGCCTGCGGGAACACGATTTTGCCGCTGGTGGCTCGTTGGCGGCCGGCCTCGAACCCAGCCTGTCCCGAGCCGACACACGATCGCCCAACCTCTCCAGGGCGGGCCTGGTTTGGATTGGCGCCCTCCCATCGTCGCCGTGCTGACGGTCTCGGCGGGAGCCCCCTCCTCCTGTGTGGCATGTGGCGGAGGTGGTCGGGTGTTCGGTGGAGAGAGGGGGAAGTGGAGGTGGCGCCAGCGTCCCCCGGGTGGCACCTAGGTCGGCTTGTTCCTCTGCCCAGAGGCCTGCCGCGACACGTGCTAGTGCCGTGGTGGCTTGTTCGAAGATCGCCACCCCCTCCTAGAGGGGTGGTGCACCACCGCTACGGTGGTTGGTGAGCTGGGCCCTCAGATCTCTCCCCGACTTGGAGGAGGCGGCCGGTTGGATGCTGGGGTCCCCGTTGGGGCCGTTCCCGTTTGCGACGAGCTGGGTGCCACGGGAACCGTTGGTGTGGCGAGAGTTGGATCTCGATCTCGTCATGGTAGCTGGTCGCGGTAGACCACTGGATATAGAACACGTTTGAGCTGGTACAGCAGCTCTCAACAAGAGCACCAATGATGAAATTAATTGACCCGGGGTAGGCCCGAATCAACGAATCCGGATAAGAATATATATGAAATAAATAATATAACGCAGAGATATGGTAAGGTCGCAGGGACCGTATGTTGTATTGATTATCGCTAATAAACTATTACAAGACTTAATTAGGACAATAATGCTATAAGATAGTAAATCAGGAATATGTTGTGTAAGATAATGATCATGTCCCTTGTTAGGACAAGAAGGGGGGCTTTTATACAAGCTAAACCCCCCAACCGCCTCCCCACAAATCGGGGGGTAGTTGGATCTCCGAGTTGACCGCGCCCGGGTGTAGACCGGGTCCATGGGTGTGCCGAGCTCGACATGGCCGAGTTCACCGTGGCCGAGCCCACCATGGCCGAGCTCACCGTGGCAGAGCTCAGCATGGCCGAGCTCACATGGCCGAGCTCATAGGACCGAGCTCGACATGGCCGAGCTAACCGTGGCCGAGCTCACCATGGCCGAGCTCATAGGGCCGAGCTCGACATGGCCGAATACCTCACCATGGTCGAGCTCATATGGCCGAGCTCATAGGGCCGAGCTCACATGGCCGAGCTCACCATGGCCAAGCTCATATGGCCAAGTCCACCATAGCCGAGCTCATAGGGTCGAGCTCACATGGCCGACCTCATGTGGGTAAGGCACCTTGGGCCGAGCACGGGGCTCAACCTCCGGGCCCCGCGTCCATTCTACACTTCATTGCTCCGCTTCCCGGGTCAGTTTGCTCCGATCATAATATATCCATCATTATTTTTTTTTTTTGAATGCTACTAGCTCTATTACAATGTAGTATCTGTTCATATACAAGATACACTATTTATATATTGAAAATTCACAATTAACATATTGAATGCTTATAATTTAAATTGTGAATATTCACTATGTAAATTGTGAACATTTAGTATATAAAATTGTGAACATTCAATATGTAAATTGTGAACATTCAGTATGTAAATTGTGAACATTTAGTACGCATATAAAAATTGTAAACATTCAGTATGTGAATTTAACATTCAATATATAAATTGTGAATTTTTAGACTCCAAAGTAGACCCGGATCCACATAATAATTTGTCAAAAAATGGTTAGGTGTCCGATTTTTATTTTATTTTATTTTATTTTCAAATAGTCAAAATGGCAAATACACATAGACACACTATACACAAATCACAAATTCACAAATCACAATTTACAATAACGGTCAAAATGGAAAATAGAAATGAAAATGAAAATTTGTATTCTACATTATACCGCCACAACCCACACTCCACAGTCCACAAGTCCACATGCTAGAAAAGAAAAACAAAACAAAACAAACAAAAAAAAAAAACTTACCAACGGCATGCAGCTGCGACGACGACTGGACTCATTGAAGGCAAGGCGAAGGACGGACGTAAGGCGGCGACCAGAGGCAGAGGCAGAGGCGAGGCGGCGACGGGAAGCGTTGACGACCGGCCACGGCAGCGTGCAACAGCAATAGTGCTGTGGAGGCGGAGGCGGAGGCAGCGCTAGAGTCTCTGGTCCGTCCGTCTGAGCGTCTTTAAACGAACATAACGATTTTTACTTTAGGGTTATTCGCTTAAAACGACGTCGTTTTGAACGAATAAACCTAAAAAAATACGTCGTATAGTAATTATTTGGCCGGCGCACAATATACAAAACGATGTCGTTTTGCACTTTTTTTTTTTTGAAAATTTCGCTTTTCCGTATTTGTTGTTAACTTGTTAAAAAAATCATGTTTTGAAAATGTACATAATTGTATATGAGAATGTACATAATTGCAGAACAGAATACAGATAAACTTTTAACTGTTAAAAAAATCGTATGTTCGAATGTACATAATTGTATAAAAAAATATACATAATTGTATAAAAAAATGTACATAATTTTATAAAATAATGTACATAATTATATACCAGAATGTACATAATTGTATAACATAATGTACATAATTATATAACATAATACACATACACTATGTCGCGTCGACTCCGCACACAACTTAACAAAACGACGTCGTTTTAAGATACGCGAAGCGCACAGTGCTATGTGCACCGTAGTGCAAGGTATAACGAATGATAAGACAAATACACATGTATTAGGGTCAACTGTGAACCATGGTCCATACTATGGGGGGCATTATTAGAGCCCAAAAAAGGATGTCTTTCCCCAGTCCACAACAAAGCCTAACCCATGCCGGTTAAGAAAAGTTCGGCAAATTATGTTGTGGACACAAGTCTAAAACGACGTCGTTTTTAGGGAAAACGATATTCCAGTTTTTTTAAAAAAAAAGATTGATGTTGTCTTGCCGTTAATGGTGTTATTCGTTTGTGGAATTATGAATGTACAGGTATGAAATTATGAATGTACAGTTATGGAATTATGAACACAGAGCTCTGACAGTATGAACTTACAATTATGAACATATAGTGATAAAATTATGAACATAGAGCTCTAAAATTGTGAACATATAGAGCTTCGAAAATTATGAATGTACAGTTATGGAATTATGAACACATAGCTCTAACATTATGAACTTACAATTATGAACATATAGTGATAAAATTATGAACATAGAGCTCTAAAATTGTGAACATAGAGCTCAAAAATTGTGAACGTAGAGCTTTGAAAATTATGAATTTACATTTATTGAATTATGAATGTACAGTTACAGAAGTATGAATGTACAGTTATGAAAGTATAAATGTACAGTTATGGAATTATGAACACAGAGCTCTGACATTATGAACTTACAATTATGAACATATAGTGATAAAATTATGAACATATGCTCCTATAATGATGCGGTCTGAAATTTTTTTTAAAAAAATGGTGAAAGATAACGGTGCCACTAACAACACCGTTACCGTGTCCACAATGTATGCTGGACACGGGTCCATAGCATAACGATTGATTTAAATATATATTAGGCTAAATAATGAATGTAAGCAAAATGAAATGGGCTAGAGTTTATATTTTGGTTAATTAAGTGAAAACTACATTTTAACCAAATTGATTAATAACATGATTTTTTTCTTATAAAATTGTTCACTCCACAAAATTTAATTCGATTAATTGAGTTATCCATTTTTTTAGTACAACTTAAAAAAAAAAAAAAAAAAAAAAAAAAAAAAAAAAAAACTACAACAATCGCCACACCTATAATGACCTCAAAAGATATGTGAGACAAATTGTAACTACAATAATTCTTCTTCAAAAGTTATCACATCACCTTCGAGTGGGTGAATATGTCACCCATTGTTATTTCCCTCCATTTTAACCTATATGATAGCCATCATCGAGTCATTCTCAACTTTCATAGTCCTCCATCCCTTCTCCTAATATACTACCAACTAACCAACCCATAGTAGATGGCTTAGAATTGGACAATTAAACCAAAATTTTAATTAGTTACTCTTCTGTCCGATTTTGTTTGTCATATTTACTATTTATTGGTCAAATTAACTCTTTCTTCATTGCTTTTTTTTAGTAATTTTTAATTATTTTTAAAATTGATTTTTGTATTTAATAGTACTTTTAATGTAATTTCTGAATATATAAATTTTATATACGAATACTAAACTTAATATTATAAAATTGAATTAAAAATAACTTTAATCAAGCTTCGTTAACTGAACCAGACAAACAAAATGGGACGGAGGGAGTAATTCAAAGAAAACTAAATGATGAATTTGGTTCAAACATTGGAATTGGATTGGTAATCGAAATCAAATACTTGGTAATATTAATGAGTTTAAATAGAAGAATTCTCTTTGTTTTTGTAGTATATAGCAATTGGAATAAAAATAAACAATTAATTAATTAATTAAAATATAAATAAATATATATATAAAAAAAATCTATAATACACACACATATATAATTCCCTTTTTATTTTTATTTTTTTTATTTTTTCTTCCTATTTTTGATTCCACTGTTCAAAAGTAAGAGATTAAAAGGGTAATGAATTTTATAATTACTAAAAAAAATTGTATAGGTCTCGTAGCTCAGTTGGTTAGAGCGTTGGTCTTATGAGCCGAAGGTCGTGGGTTCGAGCCCCGTCGGGACCATTGTTGTTGAGTGATTTAAAATCTCACAATATTGAGCTGTATAGGACCTCCCCTCAAGCACAAGGTGAGCTGTATAAGACTTCCCCCTCAAGCACAAGGTCGATAGCACTGAGCTATATAGGACTAGACTAGAATCCTAGGCACAAGGTTGATAGGTTGATAGCACACAAGGTGAGCTGTATAAGACCTCCCCCTCAAGCACAAGGTCGATAGCACTGAGCTATATAGGACTAGACTAGAATCCTAGGCACAAGGTTGATAGGTTGATAGCACACAACATTGAGCTGTATAGGACTAGACTAGACTAGAATCCTAGTATAATAAGTACAAGAATAGAATACTAGTCTAACACAATAAAGAACAAATATAGAGTCCTAATAATCCCCATCAAGCATAAGGTTGATAGCCCATACCTTTTGCAGCCTTATCACGAACAAAATGATAATCAATCTCTACGTGTTTCGTACGAGTATGAAACCCAGAATTTACACATAGATAAGTAGTACCCAAATTATCACACCAAAGCTTTGGTGGAATCTTTTCTTGATATGGGTGTCCCTGTTTATGATCATTTTATGTGCCTTTGGCTATACAATGCTGACAATTTTATGAATTGCAATTCGCTTTAGTACACCTTGCAAGGTGGACTCTGATCCAAAACTACAGTGTTTCCGCTGTCATGATTAATGAGTTGCAGTTTCATTTTTCAAACGCATTTTTGAACATTAAGCTTTGAGTTTCGAAACATACTATTTTATGAACATTAGCTTTCAGTATATGAGCATATAGTGTCTAGTTTCTTAACATTAAATTTTGAGTTGTTGATGAACATGTAACAGAGTGAATGCTATAGTATCTAATTTATGAACATTAATCTTTGAATTTATGAACATATAATGTCTAGTTTCTGAACATTAAACTGAGCTTTGAGTTTTTGAACGCATAGTGTCTAATTTCTGAACATTAGGCTTTGAATTTGTAAACATATAAATGGTTAACACCGTTAACGGTGTAAAGGAAGAAAGAAGAAAAAAAAAACAACATAACTTCTAATCATTCAGTTCAACAAAACTTTTTAATAAGCCTAGACAACATCACTGCATAATTATGGCCTTAATATATATACTACTCGATATATTATACCCGTAAATCTTACCATATAGGTCATCCTCTAAAAATCTTGTAACAAACAAAATTTATGGTCCTAACATATCTTTACTTTTAGAGCATCCACAATGGTTGTGGAGAATTGGGGGATAATGTAAGAGTGATTAGGAAAGAGAAGATGGGAGGGGAGAGAAAAAAGAAAGAAAAAAAATTAAAACTAAAATTTTAAAAAAAAAAAAAAAAAAAAAGAAGGACGCGTGCACTGCACGCGCCCGTGTTGCCACGTTCGCGCACAGCCTGTGTTGCTTCTTCTTCTTTTTTTTTTTTTTTTTTTTTTGTATTTTTTGACATTCACCCCACATTTGCAGTAATATTATTTCTCAAATAACCTACACCCACATCAGTTATTATCTTGAGTGGGGAGAATTAATTCTGAAATAACTCCAAATAAACCACAAGTGTGGATGCTCTTAGAGTCTTGATGGAAAAGTAAATTCTGAATATTTTGAAATGTCTCTCAAATGCCCCAAGTTCTCAAAAGTAATTGTACATTACTACTACTCACAACTATTGGATAATCCATATTGCTACTTTCGGTAGGATTCGAATTTGCGGCTGAAAGTGATGTGCCCCCAAACTCCATAAATCTTAGGCTATTCTAATCTCAAAAATGCTACCACTTCCTAAATGATGTGGCCATTAAAGTGGCATTTTAAATACTTTTTTGTTTAATTAGAAAACTTGCTTTCTACATGGCAGCTTTTGTGTACTTTTTTATTTTATTTTATTTCTTATTAGTTATTTATTATATTATTTTGTTATTATATTTATAATATAATATTAAAGTGCGACCATTTTAGAAAGTGAGAGAATATTGTAGAGATGCAGAATAAATAGTGAAAAATTTGTAAATTTGATGATGTGAAAATGGACCCGTTTTAAAAAGTGAGAGGAATTTTTGGGATAAGGATAGCCTTATAAGCAATGATAGAAAACAACAGTCTTAATCAAAGACCATAATGCCCAAGTAGGCATTGTTTGGTAAAATATTTATCTTATCAATCAATTTTAGCTTGTTTGACCACTATTAGTTGTTTGACTTAGTCAAATAATCAATATAAGTGTTTGGTTAATTAGCTTTTTAACAACTTATTGCTCCAAAAGGCTAAAATTTGATTAGGTTTTGAGACAGTTATTTTGCATATAATCAGCTATTAGCTAATTTAATAAACATATTTTTACAATCAGCCAATACTATCAACTAATCAAACACAATCAGCTAACAATTATTAGTTAACAATTATTTACCAAACACCCCTATGTCTTGGCATTTAAAATGGTACGGTTAGGGGTGGGAATAGGCTAGGCCCCTTCGTAGGGGCCTAAGGCCCGGCCTATTTAAGGCCTACACAGGCCTGACTTGTTTAGTAAAAAGGTCAGGCTTGGGCCCATTTTAAAACCTATTAAACTAAACAGGTCAGACCTGTTTATACCAAGCTCGGCCTTCAGATTACATGCCTAGCCTATTTACACAGGATTACACACATATATATAATTTATTTGTAATATTAAGTTAGTATATATTCTATTTTATACCTAATATATTTTTATATTTACAATATAATTCCAAGTATATATAATTATCAAACCTTAACCCTTGACCTCCAAAATCGCATTCTAAATTTTGATTCAATTATAATCATTGTTGTTAATTTTATTATAAGTGTTCTTATTGTTCTTACTGTTAAATATTTAATGAAGTGTCACGACTTAATTATGTGAGTTGATTGTTAACTATTTATGATATTATATAGGATGACAATCAATAATACAATAAAATTCATTCCTAAACAAGTTAACAAACATGTTGAAGTTGTGCATGACTTGTTTTGTTTTATTTTATATATTTTTTAATACTATTATGTTTGCATTGTGGCGATATACTTATGTAGTTATATATTAATTTTGTATTAGCTCGGTATATTTCTTAAATTATTTAGAAATACTTATTAAATTTTTTAAAAAGACGTAATATATAGGTTTTAAATAGATTCAAAGTATAGCTTACGTACTTTGAAGCATTTTCAATGGTCTACATATTAAACATACTTTTAAAAAGGATTCAGGCTAGGCCATGCTATTGTATGCTCAGGCTTTAGTATAACAAAAGCCTACCTACAGGCTCAGGTCCAGACACAAGCCTTAAATTTTCGTAACAAGTCCAAACTTAATTTTCTAAAGCTTGACTCGACTCGACCTATTTCAACCCTAGGTACGTGTTTCTTGGAAAGTCATGTAACTTATCCTGGTAAGTATATATATTTGTAAACAATGAATAAAATTTGCTTCAACTTGTGGTTGACTAACGAAGTTAAGTAGAATTGAAGTAGTTCAAACTAATCCAACAACATAGGACCAATCATGTCCCACCAGCTGCAGCCTCAGCATGATAGCACATATCATCCATGACATTATGTTATTGACATTTCACTTGTCACAATTTTTTAGACATACGCCGGCATTACTGCACCTATGAAATTGATATATGAATGTTCGTCGAAAAATATGTCAATGCGTACGTTTGTCTGCCTTGATATATTATAGAGTAAATACTCAAAATGATTCCTCGACTATAGCTAAATTCACAAATTGGTCCTCAACTTTTAATTTCAACCAATTAAGTCCTTAACTTTGTAATTTTGACACGATTTGGTCCTCCATCTATTTGACCGTTTGTTGACCGTGATCAATGATCTTCAGAAGAACCTTTCGCTCTCGTCGGAGCACGTGGAGGCCTCCAGGATGACGTTGCACCAGTTCGGAAACACGTCGTCTTCTTCGCTCTGGTACGAATTCAACTACATTGAAACCAAAGGGAGGACGGAGAAAGACGACCGGGTTTGGTAGATTGCTTTCGATAGTGGATTCAAATGTAACAGTGTGGTCTGGAAATGCAACCGAAACCTTAAAAAACCGACGATGGACCATGAAATTACATATATATCCTCAAATATCACAGTCAACAAACGGTCAAATAGACAGATGACCAAATTGTGTTAAAATTACAAAGTTAAGGACTTAATTGGTTAAAATTGAAAGTCGAGGACCAATTTGTGAATTTAGCTATAGTCGAGGGACCATTTTGGATATTTACTCTATATTATATTTACCTTTATATTTCATCTATGGCAGTTAAACTACTATATAATATGCAGGATCGGAGTTGAAAGCTTAATTTAACCAAAATGAGTTACTACCAACCTGAAATTAATCCTTTATGTAGCAAAAATATGGTAGATAATGATTCCCCAATGCCAATTATAGGTGTTTATGTAGCAGCTGCATCTCTAGCCTGCTCCTTTGCAATGTTCTTAAACTCATGTTTAACCTTCATTAACTCGTTTCCCAAGTTGAATGTCCGCTTCTCCGGCAATTTCTTCGCTCTCAATGCAACTTGGTTGACACTATTAGCTGTGGGTACCAAGCTGGCAGGCGATCTCTCAACTCCCAAGTGGTCTGTCCTAGATACTCGGGCAAAAAATATGAGCACGGTTTTCTTAACTGTGGCAATGGGTAACTTTTTCATCTCACTGGGCTCTATGAGTAACACAGATATTGTAACCAATGTCACGGCTTTGAGCATATTTGTAATCACCGTCCTTGTCGATTTATGCCTCCAAATACGTACCCATGTATTTGATCCCTCATCGTCTTTGGATATCATCTTCAAAATTGCTTTGGTCTTGACTGGTTTAAGAGACGTGCAGTCAGAAAACTTATCCATAACATGAAAGGTTTGGTCTTGACTTTTTGTATACGACTTCAGATCATGATTGTCATATGGTGCAAGTTTTGTTATGTTGTCTCTGTTTACTCCATGCTTCCATTAGTATTTTTGGTTAATTTTTTAGGCAAATTAATTAATCATTTTTTAGGCAAATTATTATTCCACAAAAATAAAGTTTCAACTGGGCAAAGGGAACGAGAAGTAGATCTCAATTGCTTTGTAATACTACTCGAAGGAGAAAAACAATTTCCTGAAAGATTATTAAGAGAGATTGTTAATCGGATGGATAAACATGTTGAGATGGGTAAGATGCAAAGGCCACAAAACCTATTTAATCTTCTCAGTCAAAGTTTCTCTTTTAGTGGTGTGTTAGAATTTGATAGTAACCAAGTTCCAAGTCTATTGTCTAGTGAACCTCCAAATTGTTGGACACTTCCTGTGGTAACACTAACAAGCATCGCCATTGCAATTCCAAACATTGCAAGTCAGCATGTTGATTGGTTGGTAATAAGCAGTGTCAACGAAGGCCTTCGCTATGCAAGCCTCGTAGATATTTTGGATGAGAAATGTGGGTTGAAAGGCATTAAAAATGCGGCAGATGTTGTGTGGGTGGGAGTTGAGCTTCATAAGAAGTGGTTTGACATGGATCTTGAGAGAAAAACTGGAGAAATAAGTTCTATTAAGGATATTGTTCAAGATCTGGTTGATGTAGCTGAAAGGATTGTTATGGAGTTTAGCTCTAAAGAGAATAGAATTCTAGTGGAATATCCACTCTATTGGCCTGCAAACGTTTTAGCTGCAAATTCAATGTATAGAATTACTCGAACCATTCTGCTATACTTTGAAAATGGTGAGTGTCAGGCTGAAGAGTTGTTTACGAAGGTAATCTGCATGATTGCAGACATATTGGCAGCTTGTCTTACCAATTTGGGGCATATGATAGCTACTAAATGCAGAAGCAATGCAATTGAGGAAAGGTTAGAAAGTGTTCGAGATGCAGATATCATTTTTGGGAAAAGTGAAGATATTTTAAAATTTTTTGAAGAACATAAACTTTCAAGTGTTGGTCCCAGTCAACCATTATGTATTGATGAATGGCGTGGATGGATTGAGCAACAAACAACAACAGTTTCATCTTCTGCAACAACCAAGGGAACATCCTCCGCAGAATCCAATGAACATGTAGTTGTTCAAATGCAGGCTTGATTTATATATGTGTAATAATGCTTATGGGTGCTTTCTTAATTACATGTTACTTCAAATGTAGAGTAGTTGTTTTGTTTGTGTGCTTTTATTATGTAAGACTCAAATAATGTAGAGTTGATTATAATGTAAATGAGGAAATTTTAATTTTGGTCATATGACTATAGGGATCTTGTTAATTTTAGTTTCTGACTTTTAAAAGTGTCAATTTAGTACCTTAACTATGCAATTTTTGTCAATTTTGGTCACTCCGTTCAAATTGCCGGCCAAATTTCACCGGAAAACTTTAATAATTAAAATAATGAGAATATTTTAGTCGTTTCACGCCTATTTTCTTCTTCTCCGGCGAGTCCATCCATTTCTCTCCCGTTTCCGGCGTTCTTTCTCACTGTAAAACCTATCTTTAATATCATCAAACCTCTTTTCCCAATCATCTTAGTTCATTGCATTCGCCGGAAACGGGAGAGGAAGGGATGGACTCGCCTGGGAAGAAGAAAAGAGACGTGAAATGATCAAAATACCTTCATTATTTTAACAATTAAAATTTTTCGGCGGAATTTGATCGATAATTTGGCCGGAGTGACAAAAATTGACAAAAATTGCATAGTTAAGGTACTAAATTGACATTTTTAAAAGTCAGAGACTAAAATCAACAAGACCCCTATAATCATATGACCAAAATTGAAATTTCCTGTAATGTAAATTTTATTTAGTCAATTTATAATGTAAGGAATATTATATATTGTAGTCCAGGCTTTTGCTTTTGATACATACCCTTATGTACAACTCACATAAGGAAGTCTATTTATAGGCTTTTGCTTTTGATACATACCCTTATGTACAACTCACATAAGGAAGTCTATTTATTTATTTGTTACAATTGCATATTTAAGTGTTATGTACAATAAACGTTTATAAAGACTTAACGATTTTTATAAACTTTTAACGACTTTAAAAGTTTGGTGCTATTCGATCTAGACTCTTTAAAAGTCTATCAATATTCGATTCAGATTTTTATAATCTTTAAAAGTATATTTGTATTCGATGGTATTCAAAAACTTATTAACTTTTATAGACTCTATCAGAATAGGATTTCTGTAGACTTTTCTTTTAAAAATATAAATAGTTAAAATCCAACATTCCCACCACTAGTACAAAATAGCTAATTCGCGACCCTTGTAAAGGGATTTCCGTAACTATTTCAAAATAGTCGCGAAATGTTTGTTGGAAAAAAATAGCTTAAAATGGCATAAATGGCATGTTAAATGGTTATTTTGTGGTACAATTATCAGTGGGGTCCACTTCCGAAATGAGTCGGGTCAAAGTGGATTCAGGTTCTTCGTAGTAAGACGAAGAGATTGATATATTGTACGCTCAAAACGGATAATGGGTGAATGAGATATTGATTCTCAAAGTAGACCAATTTCAGTTGGAAAATGAAGGGAAAAGTGAGCTTTGTGACACGGGCATAGAGTTCGGCGCAGCCCACAGCGCCCGTGCGGCGTCCCGAGGCCCCTCATGCCCTGCGGACCAGCCTTACCCACATACGCACCACACTGGTTTCGCCATGCCATGGGCTCATCAGGGAAGCGGCAACAGCTCCCAACCAGTTGTGCCTTTCGATCGCATCAGGTCCCCTTCATAGTCAAGTCCAAGACTAGCGACAGGCTCCCCAAACTTAACCGGGTCGGCGTGCCTAACTCGGCCAGACCTTCGCGTCTAAGGCAGAACAACCCTTAACGCTATTGACGCACCCCTTCACCCGCATGGCATTGCTAACCAGTTGGCCGTTTCCTCCTACTTTTGGGTCTTCGCACGGTCACGGAAAAACGTCCGTTACACTCTCCCCCACCCAACATCTAGCACGCCCTCGTGCTAGGGGAGAGGACTCTGCCCAAGGATCGACGTACTTAATTGCATACGCGCCGCTAATGTCAGGACATCTCACGAAGAGTAGTCCGACTGAGCTGGCGGCCACCCGAGTCCCGATTCCCTCCAAAGGACCCATCCGCCCCCTGCGGATCAACGGAGTGGAGCCATCATTAGCACGTGCGCATCCCCTCTCGCGCAACAGTGCTCGCATACTCCTCACCCCTTGAGGATCCCACCATAGCATGCAGCAATATAAGCACGCCCCGCTCTGATACCACTTTGACACGGGCATAGAGTTCGGCGCAGCCCACAGCGCCCGTGCGGCGTCCTGAGGCCCCTCATGCCCCGCAGACCAGCCTTACCCACATACGCACCACACTGGTTTCGCCCTGCCATGGGCTCATCAGGGAAGCGGCAACAGCTCCCAACCAGTTGTGCCTTTCGATCGCATCAGGTCCCCTTCATAGTCAAGTCCAAGACTAGCGACAGGCTCCCCAAACTTAACCGGGTCGGCGTGCTTAACTCGGCCAGACCTTCGCGTCTAAGGCAGAACAACCCTTAACACTATTGACGCACCCCTTCACCCGCATGGCATTGCTAACCAGTTGGCCGTTTCCTCCTACTTTTGGGTCTTCGCACGGTTACGGAAAAACGTCCGTGACATTTGTCCCACATTGGTTTGGAAAGTGGATTTGCCCCCCTTATATACAAGAGCTCTTTTGAAGCTTGTAGAATTGTATAGCATAGAGGCTCTCTCTCGCGCGCGCGCGGGGGGGGGGGGGGGGGGGGTGCAAATCAAATTCTAACTAGACGAGATTGAAAGGGCTTGATTCAAGCCCGAGGGAGTAACTTCGGATTCAATTTTCCAACACATGCCACTGGATGTGGCCGAAACTGGCCTGCACGAACCTATACTGCTTTCTGTGACCGTTGGGTGTTCAATTTTTACGGTTGCGGAATTAATTCCAATCTTAAATTTTGAATTGAAACCCATGGTAATGGTTGCTGTTACCAGGTGCAGTGGGGGTGCCCTTAAGTGCCTAATTAAAAGCTATTTAAGTCTTCCACCCCTATATAAGAAGGAGTTGGGCAGTAGAGATTTACACACAGAATTACACAACACGAAAGTATAATTTCCAGCTTCAAAACTCTCTGCTTCTACTCTTTCTTTGCCTACTGTGTTCATAGCCTTGTCTTGCTCGCCAGATTCTTTGTTTGAATGCTCAAACATTGAATCATAGCAAGTTTTATCCTGGGAAGCCTAGGCCACAACGCTCCTAGTATCTTTGGGAGGTGGCAAATAAGGTTTTAAGGAAAGAGTGATCGCTTGACTCTTGCAAAAACCCAACACCAAACACGAGCCAAATTTTCTCCATCTTTCCTTCCCTTACTTTCCAAAAAATAATAATCTTATTTTATTTGATTATTATTTATTTTTCTACCAACGGATCCAACAATGTTGAGCATCCGCGACCCTTCTTAGAAAAGAACAAACGCGGATTATAATTTTTTTTAATCTTCACTTTCTGCCATCGTTCTTAGGAAAGAACGGTCGTGGAAACCTTTTCTTTTTTAAAAAATAATAATTTCCTAAATATACCAAGTACATGCCAAAACCACTAGTAATACATTCAACTAAACAAACAAGCATTGCAATTGGAGATTCAATCTTATGGGAGAAGAACTAAACAAACAAGCATACCAATAAATTCACACAACATAGCAACAAATATATCATTTTGCTGTCTAGCCAATTGAGTTAAAGAAAGCATAAAACTGCAAGACAAAAAGGGGGGCAAATTTCCGCCATTTTTAGCCATAAAATACACTCTATCAATCTTTAAATTCCATTAATTCTTTCGAGTCGGGGGATGAGAGTTACAGTTCAAGATTGATCGATAGATTGAATTAATTACAACAGAAGAGACCTATAGGAATAGCTAACCTAAAAGTCTCCTATACAATAGGCTAAGCTAAGTCAACTAGAACTATAACCACTAGTCTATTAAGTATACAATATAACATTATAACTAACATTATTAACACACCCCCTCAAAGTGCAAGGTTGGTGAGAAACAATATTGAGCTTGTCCCGGATAGCCTGAAAGCGCGATGCTGGTAGCGCCTTCGTGAATATGTCGGCCAGTTGATCCTTTGTGGACACAAAGTTGACAACGAAATCTCCTGATGCGACCTTGTCGCGGACGAAGTGGAATCGATCTCAACATGCTTTGTCCATGCGTGAAAAACTGGATTGGCTGCTAGGTATATGGCCCCCAGATTGTCACACCACAAGGTCGCTAGATTACCGGAATGCAGCCCTAGCTCACGTAGAAGGGAGACTACCTAGGTGACCTCGGCTGCGACATCAGCTAGACCCTTGTACTCGGCTTCGGTTGAGGAGCGCGCCACCGTGCGTTGCTTGCGAGAGAGCCACGAGATGAGATTGGTCCCAAGAAAGACCGCATACCCGCTAGTAGACTTCCTGTCAACGGGACAACCCGCCCAGTCGGAATCTGAAAAAGCATGAATGTCAGAGGAGGAAGATTCTGACAAGCGCAAACCATAGTCTTGCATTCCTTTAACATATTGTAGAACCCGCTTTAGCAGAGCCCAATGATCGTCGGTGGGAGCTTGCATGAACTGACATAGCCGGTTAACTGCATAGGAAAGGTCCGGGCGGGTGATAGTTAAGTATTGTAAAGGGCCAACAATCCGACGATACTGATCGGGTTGTCAAACGACTGAGCCGACGGAGTGACTGGCTACGTGACTACAGCTGGTGTTGCCAGAGGCTTGCAATCAGACATACCAGCTCGGGCTAATATATCTCCCATGTAGCGCCGCTGAGAAAGAAGAATCGCGGTATCAACATTGAGGGTTTCAATGCCTAAGAAAAAACTCGGAGTACCAAGATCCCTGATCTTGAAGGTCGTAGATAGCCGCTATAGTAACGTATTAATTAATGCTGAGTCGTTACCCATCATAATGAAGTCATCAACGTAGACCAATAAGAAGACTCGTGAAACCCCAATGGTGTAGTGAAAAAGCGACACATCGGTTTTAGAGGCTAAGAAACCTGCACTAACGAGAAACTCATGTAGCCGCTTGAACCACTAAATTTTCTTATAGAAATTAATGAGTAAGTTAAAAATAATAAATAGTTATCAGAATATTCTGTTACTAAAGTTTATATTAACGGATTTAAGTTATTTAAGGGAAGAA